TTATATGTATTCACCAAAAATGATTGAAATTGACCCCCACAATTAAAAATAATTTTTTTAGAATGATTTGAAATTTTTTAATTTTGCCAAAAATAACTTTCTGTTAAACCACTCGTGAGATATAAATCACATTATGGGCTCGTGACACTTAAATACATCGAAAGTGCAAAAAACCTGGGCGTCAAATTTCTTAGTCTGTCATGTCACTTAAGTATCAAACTTGAAATATAAATTTGATTTTTAAATAAAATAAAAACAATTCATATTTAGCTCAATTGTTAAATATTTTGTTCAAAATGGAGACTAGCATTCCATTTATCGATGAGTAAGAACAAATGACTGACTGACATTGTGTGTCTGTAATTCCTTCATATGCTTGCATTATTCTCCATTTCAATGATTAAAAACTCTTAAGAGTCATTTCTACGAAGCATGATTGCAACTACAATAGTTTATTCTACAAAAGTATTAATTTTATTTACAAAACAAAAAAGGATATTTCGATGTTATTCGTTTCAAAGGAAATTTTTGTTGTGAGGTCATAAATTCATATTTTAAATTTAATCGTTTAACACTAGAACAGCTTGTGTAACTGTCGGAGAAGTCAAACTTCAGGGAAATAATAACGATACGAAGATGAAAAATATTTGAAACGAAGAAATGCAATTCCATTGGTAGAACCGTTATTTCCGTAATTACGTTAGAGAGTGACGCTCGCGGAATCGTATCTGTTAACCAACCTATCCCAAATCCGGACAGGGAAAGTCGCGGTGGTGCAGAAGGTTACGGTTCGGTTGAAATTACAGGATAAATAAAGCCGGTGTTAATAAAGTCTTATCGGCATGCAACCATGCGTGTCGACTTTAAGCCACGGACGCGCTAATCCCCTATGCTAATTTCGGTTGGCCAGGAAAACGACAGCTCTAATGCCACCCTTTCAGACACGCGTATCCATGAGAGGCAACGCAGCCACGTACGCGGAAGACGACCATTGTGTACGGCGATTCGCAAAAAACGGATCTGCATTCGAATGCTGCCGCATTAAAACTCGAACCATTTTGAGGATATACAACTCCTGTCAAAAGTTTCCAATCGCACAACAAAGAGACGCGAAAGTGGCTGAAACCCCTTCCCATCAATGACATTCACAGCCTCGATTCACGTTCTATAGCAATTCGTTTACTTTAAATTTGTATAATTTAATTTCAATGACTTCACTGTTGGCATGTCAAATGCCTCAAATTTTTATGGAGCAATTTTCACCCACTAGAGTAGTTTAAAATTTTATGTTATTGTTATTTTGTATTATAATGACTTGAGTATTGGCATGTCAAATCAAATACTTCAAATTTTTATGGAACAGTGTCTAGTAATTTTCTTCCCCTAAAATAGTTTTAAATTTTATGTTATTGTTGTTATTTTGTATTATAATGACTTCAGTATTGGCATGTCACATCAAAAGCTTCAAATTTTTATGGAACCTAGTAATATTCTTCCTCTAGGATTGTTTTAAATTTTATGTTATTGTTGTTATTTTGTATTATAATGACTTTAGTATTGGCATGTCAAATCAAATACTTCAAATTTTTATGGAACATTGTCTAGTAATTTTCTTCCCCTAAAATAGTTTTAAATTTTATGTTATTGTTGTTATTTTGTATTATAATGACTTTAGTATTGGCATGTCAAATCAAATGCTTCAAATTTTTATGGAACTGTGTCTAGTAATTTTCTTCCCCTAAAATAGTTTTAAATTTTATGTTGTTGTTGTTATTTTGTATTATAATGACTTCAGTGTTGTCATGTCACATCAAATGTTTCAAATTTTTATGAAACCTAGAAATTTTCTTCCTCTAGGATTGTTTTAAATTTTATGTTATTGTTGTTATTTTGTATTATAATGACTTTAGTATTGGCATGTCAAATCAAATACTTCAAATTTGTATGAAACCTAGTAATTTTCTTCCTCTAGGATTGTTTTAAATTTTATGTTATTGTTGTTATTTTGTATTATAATGACTTTAGTATTGGCATGTCAAATCAAATACTTCAAATTTTTATGAAACCTAGTAATTTTCTTCCTCTAGGATTGTTTTAAATTTTATGTTATTGTTGTTATTTTGTATTATAATGACTTTAGTATTGGCATGTCAAATCAAATACTTCAAATTTTTATGGAACATTGTCTAGTAATTTTCTTCCCCTAAAATAGTTTTAAATTTTATGTTATTGTTGTTATTTTGTATTATAATGACTTCAGTGTTGTCATGTCACATCAAAAGCTTCAAATTTTTATGAAACCTAGTAATTTTCTTCCTCTAGGATTGTTTTAAATTTTATGTTATTGTTGTTATTTTGTATTATAATGACTTTAGTATTGGCATGTCAAATCAAATACTTCAAATTTTTATGGAACATTGTCTAGTAATTTTCTTCCCCTAAAATAGTTTTAAATTTTATGTTATTGTTGTTATTTTGTATTATAATGACTTCAGTGTTGTCATGTCACATCAAAAGCTTCAAATTTTTATGAAACCTAGTAATTTTCTTCCTCTAGGATTGTTTTAAATTTTATGTTATTGTTGTTATTTTGTATTATAATGACTTTAGTATTGGCATGTCAAATCAAATGCTTCAAATTTTTATGGAACAGTGTCTAGTAATTTTCTTCCCCTAAAATAGTTTTAAATTTTATGTTATTGTTGTTATTTGGTATTATAATGACTTCAGTGTTGTCATGTCACATCAAATGTTTCAAATTTTTATGGAACAGTGTCTTGTAATTTTTTTCCTCTAGAATAGTTTTAAATTTTATGTTATTGTTTTTTTTTAGTTTTTATTGTTATTACTGTGTTTCTGATTCTTTTCAAATCATATAATTCGCAATGATATGGAAGAATAAAACCTTATCCTTCATAAGAGTACACGTAATGCATAGTTCATGTGTTTTTGTCAAAGACTGTAACGATGTACTATACATTCCTGCTTGCTTCGAAGTACATATTAATCCAGATTTATCGTAAATATTCAATCAATGTATTTGCACGAGTACTTGTTCGTCGAAGGGAATTAGACGCATTGTTAGTCCATACTAGCATGTCTTTATTAAAACCAGAGCTTTCGGTCCTCTTTGATAGAATTAAATAGTATTTTTATACATGTCAATATATATAAAGCAGCTTTGATCAAGTAAAATTAAATTTTAGTACAAAGTTTTATTCGTCAAGATACTCTTTGCAAATATTTATTATAATTGCATATATTTAACCAGTGTTCTTTTTGTGAGGGGTGGATACACTAATTATACAAAATCATTTGTGGATAATTCTCTATTCTATTACAGCAACAATGGATCATAAGTTGCTTTGTACCGTAGAATAAGGAAGATTGGTTCAATGATATAAGTACATATTATATTATAGGAGAGGGAAAGATCAGTCCAGAAAGGAATTGCGTTTCAGACGTTTCAATCTTCGTAACTTCTGCAACCAATATAAAATAAAAATTATTAAATATTTTCCTTTGGGTCCCTTTAACGCCATATTGATCTTTCCCTCTATAAACGCAAGCACTTTGGTTGAAAAGATATTTGAGAATTGTATTATTTTTACAATTGTGGAAATTACTTATAGGTTAAAAGACTCAATTACTGTCACCTGAATAATCAACTTTGGCAATATTGCGTTATTTATTTGTCAAAAACATGGATTTTTCTTTTCATCTGTTATTATTTAATATCTCTAATTTAAGGAAAAAGACACTGAGACTTTCAAATCCATATGTTTATTTATGCATCCAATAATTCAAAATGAATGTTTTGGGAGCTATTACTGTCACCCCTAAAATATATTTAAAATAGTTTAGGATGGTAGTATACTTTTTCTTCACCCTATACATATCATAAACATCTAAAATATATTCAAATTAATTGTGAAATAATTGAGTAATATACAACACAATTCAATACGTGTATTCAATAATATTTATTACAAACATTTTGGTATGTTAGTCTAATACATGTATAAAATATATTATCGAATTTTCGCTTCAAGTTCTATAATTGTAAGTATAACTGATATAATCGTACGATTATTTCTAAAAATTTATGCTTCTACTATACGCATACGTATATCATCTACATCGTCGTTTTTATTCAAATGAAATTAATTTGCAAAGACAAATTCGTATAAAATTAGCTCTCAAAACAAGTGTTTCCCTTATTGAAAAATGGAGTAGAAACTTGTAGATGTTGTACCTTGTTCTATAAATTATTGTAAAATTCATAGTATACTAAAGTTTAAGTGACTTGAACGTAGAATATTTTCAACACCTTCTATACCTATTGAGCTTATCACCTACAAACCACAGTTTATTAAAAAAAATTTTTAACGTTTTGGCAGGAAGAACACTCAATAGCAGAGCTAATCTTATGGCATTCGTATCATGAATTCTAAACGAAACTGATCTTTACGACACAAGTGTACTCGTATCGATCGATGGAATTATATTATTATTACTACTATAACGTTTTTATTACTCAAATTATAAAAAATCTACGTGTCGTAACAAAAGTGATCGTAACAAAGGCTGCTTTAAAACCTGACGTCAATATCGAAGAGAATGGCACTTATTACCATAATAATCTTTATTCCGACCAGACTTATGTTCGCTTAAGATAGAAATTCGAAATTGGTGGAAACTTATTCGGCGACCTGACGCTTCCCAGCGATCGTAAAAAAAAAAAGAAAATCGTGCCTCAAACCCGCGGAGATAAAAATGAAAATCCACCGCGAGAACGTGGAACGCTAACGTTGATCTACGATCTGCCAGATTTTAACGAAATCACGATCGCGACTGCGGTTTCGCGATGCAACGTCCCCGTTGTCGATATTACACGCAACAAAATGTAATACGTTCCTATCCGCCGGAGAAGGACGAAAAACAATGAAAAAAGAGTCCGACTAAAAGCATTCCTGCGAACAAAACACGAGCTGACTCGGATATACGAATTTTATTCTTCTATCGGGCGGTCTGTCTCGTATCGAAACGGTGTTTCCTTGGTTCCTGATGAATATCTTTTAGGTGTGTATCGTCCGTACGATGTATCACACGACGCGTCGCTGTATCCACCGCTCGATTCTGACTTTGTCCACTGAAATATTACCACGCGAACACGCGTCCTGGCTTTCGAGGGCGGAAGAGCTAATGAAGAGTCGACCACAAAAACTGGAATCTATAATTTTTACGGCGGCTGGCGGCTTTGGACGTTGCTATTCTTCTCGAAACGATCTGTCGACAGAAGGATCTAACATGAGTACAATTAATACGCGTAACTTTCGAGTTAAGTTTTAATAACAAATGTATGGGAATTGGGCGTGTGCCGGATCGACCCGATAAAATTAAACTTTGCAATCAGCGCGCTCGCGATATCGAAACGATTGTAAAACAATAATAAGGTTAAAGTCGGCGAATTTTCGAGTAAAATTCATTAAACCGACCGCTGGATTATTATTTCCACGCGATTATGATGAACCGTTCCTTTGTCGAACCGCGCGAAGACAGGGATGCGTGAAATTTCGATCGAACGAAACTAACGAAGCAATTTATTTGAGACTAACGAATTAATTTCTGTATCGGAAACAAATTAATTCTGTCGACGTAACGCCTACTTTTTACGGAAATAATTTCACGATAATATGAAAGTTATACCTTATTAGAATAATTGTTTAATCATGTAGTAAGGGCACCTTACGAAAGAGGCATACATTTTTTATTTTATTGATTATTTGCAAAAGGAGGCTAGAGAGGAACTTAATAGGATCTATTCTTTATATTGTCGGTTCGTTTTAAAAAATTAATTGATTCTGTACAGCTATTCTATACAGGGTGTTCAGCCAGCCCAGGAAAAAATTTTAATAGGAGATTGTAGAAACCAAAATAAGACGAAAATCAAGAATATCAATTTGCTAATGGAGGCTTTGTTAAAAAGTTATTAACGTTTAAAATTCCGCCCCTACTGAATTTTTTTCTCAAAAATGCGCAGGAATTCGGGGATATGTCTACTCAACAAAAATGATTGTAATTGACCCCCGCAACCGAAAATAATTTTTCCAGAACGATTTGAAATTTTTTTTTTCCGTCGAAAAATTTCACACATTCTCGAATTTTTTTCTAGAAAATGGGTAGGAATTCAGAGGTATATCTATTCACCAAAAATGATTGTAATTGACCGCTGAACCGAAAATAATTTTTTCAGAACGATTTAAAATTTTTTTTTTGTTGAATTTAGGCACCTAATTAGATTATCGGTAAGGAATTTTTTCTGGAAAGTGTGTAGGATTTCGGGGGTATGTGTAATGACAAAAAATGATTGTAATTGACCCTCACAACCGAAAATAATTTTTCCAGAACGATTTGAAATTTTTGAATTTAATTGTTAATAACTTTTTAACGAAGCCTCCATCAACAAATTGGTATTCTTGATTTTCGTCTTATTTTAGCCTCTAGAATCCCTCAATTCCTCATTCTTTTATTTGATATGTATAAAATGAATGCACTAAAATGTTTCACTCTTTTGGTAAACAAAACGATCGTTATCTTAGAGCAATTTTAATATTCGAAGGCGGCAATATCGTGGCCCGAGAGTGTTTTCCTTGAATTGAAATTGAAATCCTACATGCTGCCATTTGGGACGAAGGAAATGATTATTCCAGGATGATAATAACGCGAAGCATTCGACCAATTGTGTTCGAAAATTATTATACAGAGAGAAAATTAATACTCTAAAGTTGGCATGTGCAGTCTAGTCTCCTGATGCAAATCTCATAGAGCATCTATGAAATACCAGGTTAGTCGATTCAATGTTATTTGAATGCACTATCATTAAAGCAAAGAGCTTCTACGCTCTGAACTGTTCTATTTCTGTTATAAACAAATTCAACTTCAATTAGTCACGTTTTTGAGCATTCATAAATCTTCCTCGGTATAATTTTCATGATTTCATACATACAACAATGTAAATAATTCAACAATGTTTTTTTTTAATGTATTCGTATTTCCTTAGTCTAAAAGAAACCTTGTTTCTACATCCCCTTTGACATTCATATTTTCCGGGTGTGTATATTCTATTTACGATTCCTGAGCGGACAAAATATTTGGCACTCACTTTGATAAACACAACTGGTTCCATTCAACTGTTTACAAACAAAGCTGGGTATTTTTTACGTACCACTTTGCTGAATATTTTGAAAACATTATCTCCGGATTTTAATCCATTGCAGAACGGTCTGCAGACAATATCGAAATACTCTGCCAAAGAATTTAACAAGGTTACTAGCAAGTGCATTCTAGATGTGTTAGAAAGATAAAAAGATCGATGATAAGACAGGCTGACATTCAGATGCAAGAAAATCATTTTGAGCACCTTTTATATTTCTTTTTTTTTTGCTCTTATGTGGGTCGATTGAAATTTCTTATATAGCTTAGTTGGCCATTTCGTCTCTCCTTTTCCTCTATACTAAACTGATGTCTTTATTATAAGGATGCAGACAGTTAGAGTTAACATTTTTATACTATCACAAATCCTACTCAATTTTTAAATTCAAACTTTTACTTATTTCATGAACAGTCTTTGCAATTTTCACGAACATTCAAAATAGTTTAAAAGTGAAATAGTTAAGACAGTGGACACGTAGCTATTGATTTCTGTGTTATTTAAAGCAGACAGCTTGCATGTAGCTTGAAACAGAATGAGTTGAAAAGATTTTCTCTCGATAGTCTCGCCGATTCTACTAAAGATTTCCTCTTACGAGCAACAAATTGCATGTTCCTCTAATTATAAGCACTATACTCCCGGAACGACCGCGGCAGTATACACGATACACGTATCGTCATAATTATAGCATAAACTTCCCGAAGTATATCAAGATTTCTATTTTACAATCCGTTAGTCCGACGATGTGGTGAAAACATACTCGTATTAACGTACTGATTAATTGCAAACCGATCAGATATTAAGGGCTTTGCTCACCTTCGTCCTCGTGGCTCGTCGAAACATTACTCGGTCTTTTTTCTGAGATACGATTTCTTGTAATAGTCGCAAAACATGTAGAACATTGTAAGAATCTGTGACATGTAAATGTAAGCCACTGGTTTTCGATTCGGTTCGCAGGAGGGTAACAGAGCTTGAAACGTGTGACACACCATAATCACAAATTGGATCTGCAAACAGAGAAAAAATATTTCCACGTCTTATTTTATATGTTTTGCATAGTATAAATGTACAGCTTGCTTCTTAGTGCTTATGGTTACTTTTACTGTGCTTTTTAAATGTTTAAATATAACATGTAATTGAATACTTTAATTGCCTACATTTTAATTGTACTCGTTCTCCATTTTTGTTTGTAACACTTCGTAAGTTTCAAAATAGTTCATGAATATAAACGTTTGTCAGGATGAGAAAAATAAAACCAACACTTTTACTATAGTTTTAAAACTATTTTGTTACGACGTTAAGATTATTATGCATACATAAGAAGATTTTCAATTTTTTTACAATCTAACTGAAATGCATTCAGCCTGATATCGTATGAAACGAATTAATTTTTGGTATACTTGTAGCATTACAGTGTAGATATTTTTTAGTTCGATATTAATAACTAAAATTTTCGTTTAAAATAAGACTATATACAAATATTCAGCCTTCTAATACGTTTCGTTCTTGGGAGATGAGAGATTTATTATAGAGAACAAATAAATATTCTAATACAAAGCAAAGTTGAATAATTATTGATTCTTTCACAAAAACTGTACGCCGAATGAACGTAGTATTTTTAATTTTTTAAATATTCTAGGCCCTCGAGCATCACTGTTCATATCTTGGTTATCCCCCTTTCATAAATAAAAATACCTTCAACCACAGTTTTCTCATATTTCCGCAGGTAACTAGAAAAAAGCTGTGGAAACATTGCGTTGTAGTCTAATAATTCTCGCGCCTCTGTACCAACTGTGAACGTAGAACCACTGATCATTTGTCTATGCTCGCCAATACGCCAAGGGATTAAAACCGTATTATCCATTCGCAAGAAAGATAAGAAAGAAAAGTGTCTGCTTCAAGAGAGAAATCGTGAATATAGAGCATCGTTGTTCGCGCACAACAGGCTCATTAAGTTCTCTTTCTCTCTCCACGCTGTACACGTAACATAACACTTTACCCTGTCGCAGTCCTCTTCATTCCCCCTCCCCCACCCACCCCGTTCCGCTTCGTATAGTGTAAACGCTTTGCTTGAAATTAAACGACCACGTTACCCAATAAATCGTTCCGTCGATATCTCGCCAGAAATAAAAGTTCTCCGTTGGCGGATTATTTAATTAAAAACCGTGCCGACGCCACTCTCCCCGTCCTTCGGCGCCGCGCTTTCGTCGGCCGCCATTTCATCCCGCTGTTGTTCCTCTCGGGGCTCGAACCCAAATCGAATCGCTGTTCGCAACTACACGTGTAATTCTGCATCCGGCACTTACGACCTTTTCAGCTCTCGTGAAAACCTGGTTATCGAGTTAGGAAGGACGATCGTCGAATATGGCCCGATATGCGCATTCCGTGCCAAGTGCAACACACGCTTACCTGGCCGTGTGTTTCGTATTCATTGGAAGAACGTATTGCGCCTTTCGACAGCCATTCGATAACTAAAAGTACGACCGCATTCCGCGCTCTCTTCCCTTTTCCTTCGTTTCGAGTATTTAAAAATCATTCTACTAGAAAATATACATTAAATTATATTTGTAATTGTACAATTTCTAGACGAGTCCTTCTTATTAAGAAGTATGCGGAGAATCAGAAAATTATGAAACTTTGAGGATGTGTATGTTTCGTATTGTGTTTTTCGACAACCATTCGATAACTAAAAATATGAGTGAAAAAACATTGCTCGTTCTGTTTCCTTTTTATTCGTTTCGAGTATTTAATAATAATTCTACTAGAAAATGTAAACTAAATTAAATTCGTAACTTGTATATTCGTAATTGTGCAATTTTTAGACGATTTTTTCTTACTAAAAAACATCTGAAGAATCAGAAAATTATGAAACTTTGGGGATGTGTATAGTATTTTTTCGTATTACATCTTTCGACAGCCATTTTATAACTAAAAGTACGACCGCATTCCACGTTCTGTTCCCTTTTCATTTGTTTCGAGTATTTAAAATTAATTTTACCAGAAAGTATATATTAAATTAAATTTGTAAGTTGTATAATCGTATTTGTACAATTTTTAAACGATTTCTTCTTACTAAGGAGCATGCGGAGCATCAGAAAATGATGAAACTTTGGGGATGTGTATAGTATGTTTCGTATTGCACCTTTTGACAGCCATTCAATAACTAAAAATATGACCACAAAAACATTGCACGTTCTGTTTCCTTTTTATTTGTTTCGAGTATTTAAAAATAATTCTACTAGAAAATATACAGAATGAAGCAGGAATTAGTTCCCAAGATTTTTTAGCCCCCTTCGTTGATCTGACAAAAAAATGGTTCCTATCGACGTTAATCAGTATGTAACCGACAAGAAATTGCAGTTGCTTAAATTTAAAAACAAATTGATTTTCGATAAAAATTTATGATCACTGTTATATTTTTATTTAAAAATAATTCTATTCTATTTGGAACTAGGTATTTTTAACTTCATAGTATTGTTGGCGACCTGCTACTCTATAACCTTCCATTTAACAATATAACAGTGACCTTAATTTTCTATGCAAAATATTCTTAATTTGTTTTTGAATTTAAGCAACTGTAATTTCTTGTCAGTTAAATACTGATTAACTTTGATAGGAAATATATTTTTGTCAAACCATCAAAAGGGGCTGAAAAATCGTGGGGACTAATTCATGCCTCACCCTATATATTAAAATAAATTCGTAACTTATACAGGGTGTTCGGCCACCTCTAGCAAAAATTTTAATGAGCGATAGTAGAGGCCAAAATAAGACGAAAATCAAGAATACTAATTTGTTGGTGGAAGCTTCGTTAAAAAGTTATTAACGTTTAAAGTGCCGCTCTTACTGAATTTTTTTCTCGAAAATGCGCAAGATTTCGGGGGTATGTCTATTCACCAAAAATGACTGTAATTGAACCCTACAACCGAAAATAATTTTTCCACAACGATTTGCAATTTTTTAATTTTCTCGAATAATTTCACACCTTCTCTATTTTTTTTCTCGAAAGTGGGCAGGATTTCGTGGGTATGTCTAATGACAAAAACTGATTGTAATTGACCCCCGCAACCGAAAATAATTTTTCCACAACGATTTGCAATTTTTTTTCTCCGTTGAAAAATTTAGGCACCTAATTGGATTTTCAGTAAGGAATTTTTTTCTCGAAAGTGCGTACGATTTCGGAGGTATGTGTAATGATAAAAAATGTTTGTAATTGATCCCCGCAACCGAAAATAATTTTTTTTAAACGATTTGAAAAATTTTTTTTCGCCGAAAAATTTCAGCACCTACTCGATTTTTTTTCTCGAAAGTAGATAGGATTTCGGAGGTATGTGTACTCACCAAAAATGATTGTAGTTGACCCCCGCAACCGAAAATAATTTTTCCAGAACGATTTGAAATTTTTGAATTTAATTGTTAATAACTTTTTAACGAAGCTTCCATCAACAAATTAGTATTCTTGATTTTCGTCTTATTTTGGCCTCAACTATCGCTCATTAAAATTTTTGCTAGAGGTGGCCGAACACCCTGTATATTCGTGATTGTACAATTTTTAGACGATTTCTTCTCACTGAGGAACATCCGAAAAATTATAAAACTTTGGGTGTGTGTAAAAAATATGCACACCCAACTTTACTGTTCCGTTGCCCTCAGTTTTCAAAGGATACGAATTTTTATAAAATAAAAACCTGATTTCGAGCAAGAACAAGGTATTACGAGGAAACTAAACCCGCTAGGAAGCACTGGCTGAGTCGAGAGAAGCACATTTGGCCAAACGATAGTTCTGACTAAGCAAAATACAGAAGAATTTGTACCCCTCGAATCGTAAAATTTGGGATCCACGATGATCCCAGGTATCCAACTACCCAGATGTCATAAAATTAATGACTTTGACTTCGAAATTAATGGCTTCGTTTTCGCAGCTCAGTATCTATTTGATCGTCTGAAAGTGAAATAATTAAAAGTGCACTTTTCGATGTATTTCGATTAAAAATTTATTCCCTATGCTTTCCATATTACTCAAATTTTCTTTCCACTGAACACATTTTAACATCATTAATAAAATTAAAAAAGAAAAACGTTGGAGTGCTCATATTTGCAAGTGTTTGCTTCACTTTTTTATTCGTCCGCTTCCGTATTATTTTAATCTATTTGCAACGAAAATTTAAAAAAATTGAAATTAATTGAAAATTTCAGCTATTTTCCAAATAATATTGTGTGTTTTAAGTACTAAATCCATTCCTGAAATTGATTCCACGTATTGCGGTACATATTGTACGTAGATATACAAGGGAACGCTCGTAAAATATCTATTTGGTTGATCTAATAGGTTTTTTTAATCTTTGCATGTGGTTTATTGGTTGTAATATTTTTAAGTGCACGATAAAGTTTGCCAGATCGTACCGTTTCATATTTGATTGTGGATATCCATAGACCATGATGGATGATTTCGTTAGTGACATACCGCAAAAAACTTTGCAAATACGCCTAGAGTGTTTTAATCGGAATCGTACATCTCAATTTTGCAATAGACTCAATCGTTTTCTAATATTCCTGTTGAAATAACTTTATAAAGATGTAGTTAGTTTGTAAGTCTTAATATTTTAGTGTTTTCCATTGAACGAGACATTTTCGTTTTGTTTGAGCTATTTACATTTGGTTTTACTATAATTCTTGCCATGTTAGTTTTCTAAATAACAATTTACCTAAATACTTTACTGATACTTATTCAAAAATTCTAGTGTTGTTCAATATATATGTACTTAGAAAATTTTTTTTAAAAATACAATTTATATATTTCCAATGGAAGTCTTAAGAGTTTCAAAAGGCTATTATTATCATTAATATTATTAAACATCTTCATCACACATCACAGGTATCTGAATATATGACAAATTGACGTAAATACAAATTATGTAAATACACAAGAAACGAGGCTCAGTACTGTTAAAAATACTGTTTTTAAAACCTAACTTTTATCTTGTAGCATTACATTTGAAATATTCAA